AAATATTTAAAATATTTCAAAATTTTAGGGCTGGCTGGTTAGCTCAGTTGGTTAGAGCATGGTAGCATGGTGTTATAACACCAAGGTCAAGGATTAGGATCACCCTACTGCCAACCACAAAAAAAAAAAATTCACAATTTTAAAAATTAAAAATATTTAAACTATTTCACAAATTAAAAATCACATTAACAAAGAGGTTTAAGAATAAAAAGTCAAAACAATGAAATTATGTCTGGCATTCATGTACAAAGATCAATTTCAAAGTGTTATTACAAAATGATAAAATAGTCTTCCTATTTATCACTCTTGAATGACGGATAGAAGATCCTGTGAATTGGCTCACTCGACATCCACTTCACCTGCAAACTGGTATACCTTCCTGCAAAGCTAAAAGAATCCCAAAGCTTCTAAAAGCTACAGTTGTGCAAAGCGATTTCAGTTCTGCCAACCAGAGACTCAAGCAAGGTCTTGAGAGCAGACCCTGGACAGACTGTGCTCAGTCCTTCAGCTAGCAAGTACAGTCATGGAGACCGTGGGTTTTCACAGTGACGGTATTCTAGCTTGATGGGTGTCAAGAGGCTCGATGAGGGCAATCTCATTTTCACCACTGTAGATATAGCAGGCATCACTTTCCACCACCTTGTTAGCACCCAATTCCCCACATTCAATCTTACCATAAGACATACAACAAATTAAAAAACTGGAAAAAGCACAAGAGAGTATGTTTATAATCCTGGGATGGGGAAGATCTTGAGACACCAAAAGCAAAAGACTGACCAGCAAGATAATGATTAGCTGAGAAAATCATGTTAAAAATCTATGAAAACCTAAGAATCAATAATATTCAGAGAGAATGCCAAAAACTCATTTGTCACCACCACTTCAAGTAGCCACCAATTATTTCCTTACTTTGAAAATTGGTAATTAAAGATTAAAAATTAAATGTTTTTCCTGATTTTCCAGCAGGAACTATAATCTAAAATAGCCTTGGCTCATAAAGGAAATCTCAACCTTACTGAAAAATGCTAGCTACTAAATGTAGAGGAAATGATAGAATTAGAAAAAAAAAATATCATTTTCATTTTATAACCCCTAAAGAGACTGATTCAGATAAGGACTGATTAGTGTTAAAATCATTAGGTGAATGGATATTGGTATGGTGCACTGACAGGAAAAATGTAATTTTACAAGGAAGAAACAGACCGCTTTAATCCAGTGATCAATCTTAGCATCACTAATGGTGGAACAAACTGATATTACACCATCTCCTATGATGTATTCCCCAAAAGTATTTAATATGAATCTAATCAATCTCGTGGATCTAACATCCAGCCTACTAAAAAAACAAGGGGTGGGGGAGAACAATCTAAAACCACACCATGAGAAAACAGAATTCAGAAAGTAGGATATTCTGGGGCCGGCCCGGTGGCGCACTGCTACAGTGCGCCGCTTGAGAGCGCGGTGGCGCTCCCG